ACTGAGCCCTTCTGATAGATCTGACAAGGCACATGACAAGTTTTACATGTCTCTTCCTCAGGAAAGTCTTTCTGGTAGAGATGATCTGTGCCCAAAATGGTCTCCTTTCCCTACAGATCTTCCATGGTAAAAAATGTGTAGTTCTGCCTTATGCTGAAGACAACTCTTTTGAAGGGTTTTCCACAAAAACTGAGAGACAAAGAGACACCCTGTGGTTGCAGCTCAGAAGATCCAGTGCAGTGGTGATGAGGATGGTGTTGTGGAGGCTGTGAAAGGCTCATGCCTCTTCTGTCTGACTTGGGACAAGTAATTTGAATCATGGGGTTTTTTATCTGAGTGGAGTCTTTTTTAGATGGGTGGTTTGATGAGCAAGTCCCAGTCTAGAACCAAGATGTCATTCTCAAAAATAGCACTTCCCATGCATGTGGTTTGGCCTGGCTGAATCATGGTTTTCTGACCCTCAAACAGTTCTGAGTTTGAGCAGTAAGTAGCAACTCAATTCCTGAGCAGTTCTGGTTGACAGATTTTCCACTGTGGAATTTTTCTCTAGATATTCATGTCGTTCCTGCTGTTTGGTTGATGGAGAGAATGTTGTTTTTCTTTCCCCACCCCTGTGCTACAATCAGCATTCAGGACAGGAATTTGGTCCTTGCTGTCTCCTCGTGCCGGTGGGAGACCTCCTTGTACCCGTTCTCCTCTGATAACAGAGGGGATTTATTTATGTTGTGCTCAGCAGTGGCAGAAAGATGACCACATGCCTCACTAGCATAGTTAGTGATTCCTCTCACGGAAGAGAGCGGTTGATCCAAGAGAATTGGTCTCAGTGGGTTTGTTCAGCTGTAGATCCAGTCTTTAGGGAAGCAAAAAAGTGAGCGTAGTGATGGGATGTCTGGCTTCTGGTTTTGTCTCTGTTTGTCACTGATTTTCTGGATCCTTCAAACATGCCCCTCTTCATCTATTTAGATGCATCTGAGTTATTTTTCCAGATTGCCATATCCCAGTGTAGAGAGACTTCCATATGCTGAAGCATTTAAACTTTGAAGTAGTGTCTGTCTTTCCCCACAAAGCAATGCTCTGTGTGTACTTGGGTAGAGCTCTGAAGATAAATGAGGTGCATCTCCTCCTTGGTTTTCCTGAGTAAGCACTAGTGAGAATGTTACTTGCAGATTGTCTCCTGTAATTCTTGTCATGAGATCCAAGTTGTTTTTCAAATCAGGATCTAGCTGAAAGCACATCACTAGGAAGCCTCCCCAAGAGGTTTTCCTCACAATTAACTGAAGATGTTATCACCAACTGGTCTTGGTTTTATTTTCCAGTTTGGAGTCTACCTCTGATGTACCCTTTGCACACAGTTCAAAAGTCCATCT